TAGGAGTGTTGACTTGTTAATTTATTTAAACACAGAATAAAACTATTTGCAATTTATCTTGTTGTGTTCATTGAACCGCTATTCTTTTGTTGGAAATAAAGTATAATAAGTTTACCATTAATTTGCTATGCATTTGCTGGATCTTCACATAATCAATAAAAAAGCAAAGAATTTGAAATTATTACCCGCTTTGTTTCCGTTGTTTTTTCGGCTCCACAGCTTGAGTTTCCTACAAGCTTATGCCGAAGTACTGGCATCTTAAAATCTCGAATTTATCTTGATTACAGCAAGGGAAAATTCTTTTTGAGAATGTATTACAGAATCATGCAAGTTTGTGAATCTTGCTCACTTGTTCTATAAGTTATGTGCTCTACATAAGCCATATGTCCTACACATTTGGTAAATTATATGCTAATGTTTCAGGCAATGTCTTGAGTTTCTGGTTTAAGCTTTGGTGGGTGCAAAGGGATGGAAAATTTTCTTAACATGGCCGACATTTTGTTCATATATTTGCAGCCGACATTTGTATTTATTATATCCTTAAAGAGGTTGGAACACTATGGTCCTACAATATGTCATGAGACCCTACAAAATCTCAAGTAGTTGGATCACAGCCTCCACTTAGTAGCATTATATGAATTTCTGGGTTCAAAACCCAATCTATTCCTCTGCCATAATCTTTGGCTGGCAATTGCTCAAGATCAATGAACATGTACTAACAAAATTAGAATTTAAAAGGTTTGAGGAGCTGATAACACCAAGAGATTAAAATGATGAAGCATATCCTTGAACGTGGTCGAAAATCAAAATCAAATTGGTGTGTTCTATACAGCTTGGATTCACATTGTAGGTACTGACTTTCTGAGAGCAAAATCTGAGCTAAAATAGATGAACAGTGACGTACTACCCTCGACAATTGATACCTCAACTTCAACTTTGGATATTTTACAAGGGAGAAATAACGTTGATGCCACATTTCACATGCTGTAATTTTCTAATTCTTATAATAGAATATACTATATTTTCATTTTAAATACATAAATTATTAAAAAGAACCTTATTATATTTATTTTTTTATAAAAAAAATTATATATTTAAAAGTTTACAAAATCAAATAAATTGGGATGGAGAAAGCGATTAAAAGGAGTTGCCACGATACGTGTAAAATTCTGCCATCGCTCAGTCAACCTCGTGCGTGCCGTGATTAATCCCTATCAGGCGAGAAAGTGGAAGTAATCAGATGCTCTCTTAATGCTCTTTACACGTGACGCATCACATCACACGCCACAATGATCACAAAACCGATTAATCAATTCTACGTGTCCCTATCACAATGCCTTACACACTTTCACAATTGACAAGTCTAAATCCTATTCCTCTTTAAAAAAAGAGTCATATTAATCGTAACCGTTAAGTGTTACGTTATCATGGCCTTTGATTGTCGGTTTTCTATTTGTTGGAAGGTGATTAATTTTAAGCATTAACGTGTGTAAGATTTTAGTCCTAAAAATAGAGAGAAGACTACATATTTTCTTACTATTTTTAAAAAATTTTAAATAAATTTTTATTTTTTTATTTTTTTATCATAATAGATCTTTATAAGTAACATTTGATTAATTTCATTAATTAAAACAATATTTATTATTTTGTATTCAAGTAACATTAACATAAAGTGTAAAAAATATTTTATAATTATACATTATACCATATCAATATGTTATAATAACATAATAAGAACGGTAATTATTTTATTATTAATTATAATAATTTATTAATTTATTTAATTTAAAATATAAATATAAAAATTTAATTAAATATAATAAAAATTTATTTTGTTAATAATTTAATAAATTTTAAAAATATTATATCATATAATATTTAAATTGAATACATTTTTATCTTAATTTTTGGTTCTCGTTAACTTGGTAACAAACATTGAATCTTTTGCTTGAAGGATGCTTGCTAAATGATGATTAGTGTGGACAAGGAACCATAAATTTATTACTTTACCTTTATTAACTTTAAGACAACATACACTAATTACAACTTTTTAGTATTTTTTAATTGAAATTACTTTATTCCTTGTGTTTCTGTATTTGGTAACGTGGAACAATTTTCCACGAGAAACATAATTAGGTAATCAGTCAGTAATCCTTGTGTCGGCCAAAGATTTAAGAATGAAAAACCACTAAAGGTGATTTAGTGCCTTTGCAGGTGATAGACTCAAACACAAACACTGTGCAGGGGAAAACAATTTCCATGGAAGTGAAATCTGATTGGTGAATGGAAACAAAAAGCTCTTCCAATTCCCAATCATTCAAAACTTTTTAGAATGCCCACTAAACTCAACCCATTGAAAATCAACGCAAAGCACTTGGGATTCTCCTCTTCCTCACCATATACAAATGCTTTGGTATCTAAGGCTTTTAAGTATCCAGTCCCTCCTATTGTCTGCATTACATTTCATGTTCAAAAGTAAAATCAAAAGTAGATGTTCTTCATTACTCCTACTCCTACTCCACATTGATGGATATGTTGCTTCACCATACAGAACTATTCCCAGAAATATATAGTGATAACAATAATTAATAAATGTACTAGCCAGTTTGACTTGGGAATGTCAAAAGGATTCTATCAGAGAGACAGATATTGCTCATGCATGATTGTTTATAATATCACTTTTTTTCTGGTAACTTCTTTCTCTCTCCTTTGTTTTTTTTTAAGTTGACTCAAGTTACTTTAGGGTTCAATTATTTTCTGCTGCCTTTACAGTGCTTGCACTTGACTCCAAAATGGGGCAATGGGGTTTGCTTGGAAGCATCTTCATTTCCAATTCTCATGTACTCTATTGCCTGTTGTACATTAGCTTTTGACAGTCCATTCACCAAGGTGTATAATTAAGAGAGATTTGGTTGACAGAGTCCTTAGTAATCCAATTCCAACCAATTTCCAGCTGCTAAGCCATTGCAATCACATTGCCAAAGCATGAGATTCTTGGAGAAAAACTACAAATATGTCACATACAATTGTCAACTAAAAGCATCAGAAGTATACAGTAGCCATACCTCTGAGTTAGGTTGGTTAAGAGTAGGCCATAGATTTGTGGGTCGAAATCAACCTACCACTAACTAATCCTATTGAGAAATTAATAAAATTAACAGCTTGATTTTGTATTTTGTATTTTGCTAAAAGAATTACACTGGGAAAGAATGGAAAAACATACAATGTTTTTATGGGTTCCTTATTTTATTTTTTTTTAATAAAGAGAGGGAAAGAACAAAATTATGGCTCCAATATAAAATTTTTACCAAATTTTTATAATATATCTATTATAAAAATTCCACTACAAGCCAAATTTTTAAAACAATCAAACTTTGATCAAATGAGCTTAATTTGTATTTTCAGATTTTGTCTTAATTGTTAGTATCTTTGTTGGGCTAAGAGCAAATACTAGAAGGGGTAATTAGCATTTTTCTTGAAGCTAAAGTTCTAAATACAGAAAGAGATGAATGAAAAATAATACAAGTAATGACCAAAGAGGTGGGTCACAAAGTTAAAAAAAAATTAAAGAAAATGGACATTGCTATTCTTCATTTATCTCATTTTATCTTTTATTTCAAGAAAATTTCTATTTACTCCTCTCTAATATCACAAATGAGATGAAATAGATTTTGATTTGTAAATAATAATTTTTCTCTATCTAATAAATATGTTTTCCGAGTTAAAAATTTGAGATAGTAACACTACATAGTACTGTTAAAATCAACAATCTTTTAACTTTTTTAATCAAAAACTTTTTTTTTATTTATTCAGAAATTTCGTAATTGAGTTGAAATGATTAAAAAACTTAAAACATTTTTTTAATGAAAAATAATCTAAACATGGGCTGCTAAAATTGTGATAGAAAATTACATGAATGGAATCCAAAACAGTCAATACAGTACAATTGTACACAATATTTTAATTATAAAACTTAATTTAATTGGACAACTATTTTTCTTTTCTCTAGGGTTTGAGTTGTTCCCTATTGGGTCCAATTTTGTGCCCTCTTATCACATGTTTGATCTGCTGCTTTGATCATGATAGTGATAGGGCCTTCCCCATTAAATAATGTGGTTAACATTAAAAAGACAAAAACAAAATAAATGCTCTTAAGTATAAAAGAAAAAATAACTATTGATTATAAAGAGCAATTATCTTGGGGATGTGACTACTTTCTCACTAACCGACAAGCCGTTTCCTTGTTTCTAACACCCCATGGCTCTGCACATGCAACCATTTGCATACACAAATTAAATAACAATTTCCATTAATCCAACTAAAAATACAAACCCTTCACCTTACTCAAAAACTGAAAATTATTAGTCAAAAAGCTTATAAATGAACTCATATATATAGATAACTTTTCTCTCTCTGCCAAGATTCCTGTTTAGTCCTTAATAGGAATTCTTGCAACCTATTTCATTCATTGGCTATAAAAAAAAATTCTTGCAAAATATTCAGGATAAGTAAAACAGTTCAATTTTGAAGGTATAAGATATGTGAGAGTGGTGTGTTGGAGATTGATCCATACACAAAACAAGATTAGAGATCCTAACATGACTGAAAAACTATTATCTCCTCCTTTTGACATAAACTAATTCAGTGTAAATTAAATTAATTCCAAGTTGGTCATTGCAGTTTTTTGTTTAGCAATTGAAAGAAAAAGTAAACCTTCCAACTTAGTGAAAAAAACTGAAATACTAATTTAAAAAGACTTAAATGAATTAATAATGACAACTCATTCTCTCTGCCAATAGTCCTATTCAGTTCTTGTAAGAATTCTTGAAACGTATTTTGCTTCCTCTGGCTCAAATTTTTTTTTTCATTCCAAGCAGTTTCTTTTTTTTTGGTTTACTTCAAGTACTGGAACTCAATCAGAAGCAAAAGTGGGTCAGGTTTCAATTTTTGTATTCATTGGTGTGTGTTTGTGCATGTGTTGATATATGTAAGTGTGTCAGAGTCTCGCACACATTTTCCCTCTTCCTCTCTCTCCTTTCTTTTCTTTTTTCTTCGTTCTCTCTCTCTTGAGTTATGTCAATCATGTATTAAACCAGGCAGTCCATTATTCTCTTTTTACACCTTCCTTTTTTCTGTTTTCTGCAAGATTTCAGCAACTCCTCCTCAAGCTTTGTTTTTTCTCTTCTCGTCTTCATTAAAAGTCACCTTTTTGAACTCTTGGTGATGGGTTGGGTTGTATTCTTTATGTGACTTAAAACCAACCCAAAGTTTTTTCAATTTCACACTTCTTTTCCATTTACATTTTGAGTTTTTGTTGGTTGATATGTGAAGGGATTTCTCCATAAACTGCTGAAGGCCCTTCATCATTTCTTAGTTTAGTCCTTTTCTTATCCGGGTTTGGTGGATTTTTTTTTTGGTATTACATTTTTTTCCCATTTGTTCTATCCAAGTTGTACCGCCATTATTGTTGCTACTACTAATTATTGAATACATCTCATTTAATTTGGCTTTCTTTCTTAGGGGGTCTATGATTAATGTGTTTTTTGTTAATAAATCTCTTCTGGGTTGTTGTCTAACCTGTTGTTTTCCTTCTCTTTATTTGTTAAACTAAAATTTCAGAGCCAAAAAATGCTGCAGTAGAGCAACCACACTAATCTGAATCTTGTACAATTTATTTCTCTCTTTAAATCTTAAGCCTTTTTATCGTAACAAAATCAAAACCCCATTCTTCCATCTATATGTGTTGTCAAATATCTCATCTTTGATTCTTGATTCTTTGTTTCAAGTTGGGGTTTTTTTTTGGAAGAACACTTTTTTTTTCCCTTAATCTGGGTATTGACCAAAATTCTTTGTTTTTCCGTTTCTTTCAGTCAAGGTCTCTTGTATTCTCTGGTACAGAATCTTTGAGTTTCTTTGTCTGGGGGTTTTTGTTCTGAGAGTAATGCAAATTGGAGGCAACCAAAATGGCAAATCTTGTTCCAGGGGTCCTTCTGAAGCTTTTACAACATATGAACACAGATGTGAAGGTTGCTGGTGAGCACAGGTCATCTCTATTGCAAGTTGTGAGCATAGTTCCTGCACTAGCAGGAGGTGAGCTGTTCCCCAACCAAGGCTTTTACCTTAAGGTTTCTGATTCATCTCATGCTACATATGTATCTTTGCCTGATGAACATGATGATTTAATTCTTAGTGATAAGATACAACTAGGTCAGTTTATTCATGTTGACCGGTTCGAATCTTCTTCACCGGTTCCTATTCTTCGTGGGGTTAGGCCGGTCCCTGGGCGACACCCTTGTGTAGGGAGCCCTGAGGATATTGTTGCAACTCTTGGGTTTCTTAATAATGGTATTAAAAGTGCCTTGGGTTCAAAAGCTGGAGAGAAAGTTAAGTCCCAATCAAAAGCAGCGTTAGCTAGTGGTCACGGTGGAGAGAAAGAGAAATCTGTTGGGAGTAGATCAAATGGTGGTGCAAAGGAGGATCAATTGGATAAGAAAGCTACTTCTTTGACTAGATCGAAGTCTCAATTGACTAAAGCAGCATTGAGTTTGGATATGAAGAAGGAAACCGTGGGGAAATTTAAGGCACTAAATTCACGGTCAATTCCTTCATCCCCCACAAGTTGTTACTCATTGCCAACTACTTTTGAGAAATTTGCCTCTGGGATTAAGCAGCAGGCAGAAATAAAGGGGATGAGAAAAGGAAGTCCCAAGGTGGTATCTATGGAGAAAGCAAGTTCTTTGCATGGGGTAACTCCAACTGGAAAAAAGGTGCCCGTGATAAATACCTTGGTTCAAGGGATTGAATTAGGGGTCAAGGCTTTGAGAAAGAGCTGGGAAGGGAATATGGATGTGAAGGGTAGGGACCATTCTAAACTGAGTGCTACCAAGCATGATCCCAAGAGAAAATCTCGGAGTACTTCTGTAAGTTTTCTTGTTCTTGAATTTTAATTTTTGGAAGTATATATATTTAGTCCAATTTATATATACTGGTAATTTGGCTGTCTGTTGCTTCTAACTCTAGAATGTAATGCAGGTTTTTTTATTTTTTATTTTTTATGAATAAAACATAAGGAAGCTTAAAATATGAGATCATAGAATGTATTTGGTTCCTTTATCTTATATCAGTTTTAATGGTTTTCTTGTTCAATTTGTGGACCGGTATTTCTTGAAGGACATAACTTAAGATGATCCTTGGACTCTGGTTTAAACCTAGGATATGGCATACATGTTTGACATGGGTCTGTTTGATTTGTTGTTAGTTTTTCCTTTTATTTGGAGGTAGGATGTCCATAAGTGCTTGATATGTGTTAGACATGGGTACATTGGGCAAGTGGAAAAGTTTAAGCAACACAGAATAACTCAATCTCTTTTTTTGGAATGTGATTAAACTAGTTCAAGCATTGAATATGACTTCTGTCCTATATTATCTTTGATGCCAAAATGTTTTAGAATTTGGAAAACACATGTATTATTTCTGCCTTTTCTCTGTGTCTTTTCTCGTCAAGCTGTCTTTTTGGCCCTTCATCTTTCTGTTTGAAATGTGGATGTCAGGCTCCTAGAAAGAGCACATCAAGTGAAAAGTTGCCATCCAAGGAGGAGAATAAGTTCCAAACATCTACCAGGTCATTAAAAGAGGAGACTAAATCACAGGTGTCAACTAAGAAAGTCATGACAAATGGAATGTTGAATGACCAAGAGAAACCAAATAAGCCAAGAACTTATGTCGGGAAGAAATGTGGAGAACTAACTAATAATGGTGCCTTAGGGAACTTGGTTAAGGTTCCAATAAATAGTAAAAGATTGACAGATGGAAGTGTTTCATGGGTTTCACTCCCCTCATCTCTTTCAAGGCTTGGAAAGGTATGAACTTATGACTCTTTGAATCTTGACGACTTTCTTCGCTTTTATATGAAAGTATCTTTTAAGGGTTATCATGCTTTTGCAAAAAGGTAGTATTCACTATTAGCAAATTTTTTTTTGAAGAAAAATACCAAGTACCGATCTAATTGAAGCTATTTATATATAGTGCAGAAAAGTGTTCAAAATTTTCATTTTCCAATGGTAGTTTGCAAAAATATAGTAAATAGAATCTAAGATAATTGAGTCTGAGGCTTTGCATAAATGGCTTGTGCATCAGGCCCTTAAAACATTTTATTATTAAATCTAAGATAAATGGCTTGTGTACAAGCAAATGGACTGACCTTTGTTCTATGTAGTTACTTTCCTTTCCCCTTAGGCGTCATCTTTTAGAATGTTATCTTGAATTGATGCTTATGATTGATGTTTACTATATTTACTCTCAGTGTGAATTTGATTTTTTTAGTGGTTACTGGGCTATGTGGTTAATAATAAACTTGTTGCATGGCTAGAACATCCGTTAATTGATGCTTAAGGCTCATAGATCGTCATGAATGGTTTATTGTGTTTGTATTGACAGTTTAATTTACATTTTGGCTTTGTGAAATATATAGTTCTGTTTTCCATTCCTCATTTGATTTCATGTTGTTGTTACAGGAGGTCATGAAACACAGGGATGCAGCACAAACAGCCGCAATAGAAGCTTTACAGGAGGCTGCTGCTTCAGAGAGCTTGGTTCGATGTTTGAGGTATGACTATTTAACAATGGGAAAATTGTGGGCTTAGAAAATGATATGAATTGGCAGTAAAAGCTTAAGTCTCTCTTAGTTTCAAAACCAGGAAACATTAATTATATTAATTTGATTCTCCAAATTACCTTGGTCAAACTTTTTAATATCGTACACAAATTGTAGAATTCTAAAAATTATAAGTCTCAGCTCTGAAAGCTGCATGTGTTAACTTTTGTTTGACGTCCATCAAGTTAGAGTTACTGCACCAGAAAATTTTCACTCTATACATTCCATGATCGATTGTTTGTCTCCTCTTTTTGGATGTCTTGGATCTAGTCTCTTGGAGCTCAGAATGGTGTGGTTAATTGTTTTACTCCTTCATTGAAAAACTAAAAATTTCGTTATAAGATGTAGTGTTGCTCAATATAAACTACTAGTAACAAAATTAATGCAGACACCTTTCAAATATTAATTATAGCAATGTTTTCTTTATACTTTATGTGTTGGGTGAATACAACTTTGGTGGCTTTAAAAGAAATTGCTGTCATATATTGCATCCAGTGGCTTTGAAATTTGAACGAGCTAAGTTGATTCAATTGGTCACTTGTTTGATCTGGTTCATGACCTTTCTTTGAAAATGGTCAAAGAGTCAAAGTCAGAAATTCACAATTAAACAGGTTCAGAGTAATCTGGTTTCAATTGGACTTTTTTAGGTGATTGCCAGTATTACATTGTTATTATTATTATTATTATTATTATTATTCCTGTAATGAGTAATTTTCAGGGCTGTAATCAAGCTAGGCAGAGCCCAGCCAACCTTTATGCTATTAGGGATTTTTTAAAAATTATAAAAAGTTTAATTTATCATTATACTACTTAAATGATATATGAAAGAATGAAATTAAGTAATTTGATAGATGATAACAATAATTGGTAGAAAGGAATTCTAAATCGTATTAACTATTATTATATATAATAGTTTAAATGTTGAAGTTTTAAATATTCTAAACTGAATCAATTGTAATATTCATGTTAAATAATCTTTTGAATAATCATTTATATAAGTACCCAAACATGTAAAACAAATCTCTGAAATTTTTATTTTCCGTCTCTTTCTATGGCTATCAAACAACATTTTCTTTTCTGCAAGGTGCTTCTGTTTTCAACAAACTTTCTTTTCCTTCTCTATTTTTTTATGCATGTTAAGCTAATTATATGACCTGATAGCGTTAGATTTCACATGATAGAAGGACTTATTTGCCTATTCATAAAGTGCAGCAGGAAAATTAGATCCTTAGGTGGTCTTTGGATTGTGCACCAAAGTGTGATGTTTGTGCACCAAAGTGTGATTTTTCCTTTTCAGGCCAATTAATTCACTCCCTCTGATGTTTGTTTAAGTAGAAAAAACAGAGAATGAGGTGTCAAATGGTTAGTGTGTATTGGTACTGACAACTTTATTGGAAAATTTTTAATGAAGTTTAAGCTTGAGATGTTTTCTCATGCAAAGCAATGTGGTTTAATAAGGGGGTCATCTTTAAAAGACAAAGGAGTGTAGTCTTAAATGTCAAAGAACCTTAGGAATCCCAAAGGGTAATGGAGGGCTGGACTCGAGGGGTGGCCTTGGATCCTTAATACCGATAAGTGCACCTCTTAGCATTTTGGAATAGGTTGGAGATTTTTGATGCAGAGCTTTATATCTAATTGGGAGTCAGATTGAGTTTTGCCAGTGTATTTAATTACTGTCAGCTTTGTAGATAAAAGAGACTTTGACTTGGCAGAATAACAGGATCCAAATATAAAATTTCATAACGCTGCAAGCAGAACTCACAACAATGATAGCATATTGCAGTATCCCAGCTTAAAAAAGGACATGGTGGATGGTGGGGTTTTATGTCACTTCTAGGGATCTGTTAAAAAACAATGAATTTGAGATGGGGAGTCGAAAGGGTGGGGGGAGGGAAGAGATACAAGACAACTTTGATGAAACTGTTAGTATAATTGTGGGATAATAAGTAATGCATGTTAGAAAGTTAAATTATTGTAGATATTTGGTAGTGTTTAGTGATATGTTTTATGATCTTCCCTAATCTTTTGTAGTACATTTATAACTGATTGTGCTTTGCTTTCCTATGTGACATATTGGAATACTACTTTGTCTTGCAGCTTATATTCTGATCTTACTACTTCTGCCAAGGAAGACAACGCTCAGCCTGCGGTGGATCAGTTCTTGACCCTCCATGCAAGCTTGAATAATGCTCGCATGATTGCAGATTCTTTATCAAAAACTATTCCAGTCGGTTCATCCCCGGAATCTGAAGGAAGCCCATCAGAAGAGGCAGTGAAAGTTGCATCGGATAGACGGAGATATGCAGTCTCGTGGGTGCAAGCTGCATTGGCTACCAATTTGTCATCCTTCTCTGTGTTTGCCAAAGAGCCTAATTCAATGCTAAGTCATGCTTCAGCTTCTGCACAAAGCCAGAGGACTATTCCTGCCAATCAAAACATATTAGTTCTAGAAAATTCTGCTAAGAATGCTTCTGCAAAAGCCCAAGGGAAAACTCGTCCAGTAGTTGGCTCTAAGCTTGTAGCACAGGGTGTTCTTCGCAAAGCAGGGGATGGATCAGGCCTTGGTCCAAAGGCACCGGTCCAACCACCACCAGAATGGACAAGGGGAAATGGCCTTGATGAGGTTGTCGACTTAGCTGAAATGTTGCGAATGGAATCCCAGGATTGGTTCTTAGGATTTGTGGAGAAATTCTTGGATGCTGATGTGGACACATCTGCTTTATCAGACAATGGTCAAATAGCTGGGATGTTGACACAACTCAAGAGTGTCAATAACTGGTTAGATGAAATTAGTTCAAGCAAAGACGAAGAAGAGACACCCAATGTTTCTTTGGAGACAATTGATAGGCTAAGGAAGAAAATATACGAGTATCTTCTTACGCATGTTGAATCTGCTGCTGCTGCTCTAGGTGGTGGATCACAGTCGTCACCATGCAGCCGCACGGTTGAAACAAAAGCAAAGAAGTGACTTGGCTAGCCTACATGACATGAAATGCACATATGCAGTGTTGATGCACAGCAGTTAGGCCCCTCATCCAGCAAAGGTGGGAGGAGCTTACTAATTTATCATGTACATAAATCCTACATGGGTGCGAGGTATAGATGCAGTAGTCATATCAAAAGAAATGTGTTTGATGCAAAGTGCAGGTGTTTTCTTTTCTTTTTGCTTGGAAAAAATGAAAAAAAAAAAAAAGATTACATTGTTATTTGTTGCCTGAAATTATACAAATGAAAACAGTCTGAAGAGTTGGGAGGGAGCTTTTTCTATGTTCAACATGAATATGTATCTTTCAAAATTCATTTAAGAATTGGAAAAGTTGTTCTAAAAATCCGAGTTCCCTTGGCAGTGCAATAGCAGTAGAGATGTAGGATGTCAAATTTTAGTTTCAGTTGATAGGCATTGCATTCTAGACAGTAGATAGCATGCATGACTGTCAAAAAAATGTTGATTAAAATGTCTTAATTTATGTTTAATGTTGCAGACTACTAGCTACATTTTATCTAATTCCCAGCATCCATATCCTGTCCTTCGGTATGTGGAAGCAATTAATGCTCACACTACATGACATCCATGATTATTCAAATGCTTATGAAAAAGTCACGATGACCATTTTTGTCCCAAGCTTTTAATTCTTTCATTGTCTCAACTTACAGAGAAAACAGAAATAATATTGATTTGACCCTTCTTAGCCCAATATTCCTCACCGCCCACTAAATGCTTCCCACGTGACATCTACTTCAAAAGTCTACTTTTCCATAATGTAATAAGAACTAATTAATTAATTAATTAATAAGAGTTCCACTTTGTGTATAACAATGCAATTATTTCCAAAATGATACTTTTATTTCATGAATTTTGCTTCATTGCTTATCAGGGTTTACACAATTTTACGGAAATTATAATTATTCTTTGTAATTTGCTTTTGTAAATACCAAAGGTTTTATAGACAAACTACTTAGTCAACAATTTCATATAGCTTCGCACTCTTTTCCCAGATAAATTAATATTTAGAAAATAGAATAAGAAAAATTAAATTAGCACTTTTTTTTTGGGTAAGATTGTTACAATTTTGAACTAAACTAAGTATCATGCATTTTAAAATTTTAATGTCACTTTTAAAATTAATAAATATGTTAAATCGAAAAAAAGGAAATAACTATTTCATTTTTTTTATTTTTTATGATATTGTTGGTTTTACAAAATGATCATTCCAAAAAAAATCAAAATGATTATTAATGATTTTCCTCTCAAAATGAATAGTTTACTTGAGCTGAAATAACAAAAAAAGTGATTAAACAAAAATATCCTTAATCGATTTCAAAAATTAAAATCTTATATAAAATAAAACTTACTTTTATTTTCTCTATTTTTTTCTTTCTCCCTATTTATCTCCTTATATCTTTCTCTCTAAATTTTCTTAACCATTTAAGACAGTGATAACATCGACATTTTTATAATCAGAGATAATTTTTTATCTTAATTTAAAAAGTAATTTACTTATTATTTAGATTCATTTTAATTGAAACTCATAAATTGTAATTATTTTTTTCCTGTTTATAAAAGAAATACAAGTAAATTTAATTGGGTAGTTTGTAATAGACATTAATAAGTACCTAAAAAAGACAAAAACAAAGTGCGAGAGAGATATGCAAGAAAAGGATGATACATTGTGGGATATTTCCGTAAATATAGGTCTTGTAAGGGCTTTAATGAAATTACAAGTCTGCCGAATCGAGCGGAGTAATGCTTGTCTATATAGAAAAAACAAAAAAAAGAGGGGGAGGGGGGGTTTAAAGACAAAGCAAAAGAGTAGCTGTGAAGTGAGTTCACTGTACGGTTAGCTTGTTTCTTTTCTTTGAGATCAAGACTCGAAAAGGCCATTTTAATGAGTTAATCTTTACCGGAAATGGAACGGCAGGCCACCAAACAATCGCTTCTCCTTTTCTTTTTCCTTTTTCTTCACTCTCTCCTCTACGATTGCGCTCTCTCCGAAATCTTCTTTGAAGAACGCTTCGAAGGTAAAAAAGAAAAAGAAGTACAAATACTTATGATTTTTAATCCTTTATTTCTTTTTTTTAACGAAAAATTAAATCAAATATCATTGAATTGTTTTCCTCTGTTTTATCTTCTATTATAGCTTTTATATTTTTGGTGATAGAAGAAGTTTCTAGAATATTCTTGGATTAATTTGTTTCTTTGCAAACTAGTGAAGAACTTCCGATTTCTTCTTTTAGGATTTAGTAACAGAAAAATTGTAGCTAAATTAAACAGAAAGATTTAGATGGTAGTGATATAAAAGGAAGGTTCTGGAAGTTTTGGTCGAACACTTTGACTGTAATTTATTACTAGTAGTTAACTAGTTATCAATGAATGAATGCTCAATGCGGTGCTATTGAAGTATTTGGAGTAAAATGTGATTACTTATCAATGTAAATGTTTTGTTTTTCTTTTCTTTTATTGTTCCTATATTGGAATTTGGAGACAGATGGGTGGAAGAGCAGATGGGTATTATCAGATTGGAAAAGGAGTGAGGGAAAAGCCGGCACCTTCAAGCACACTGCCGGCAAGTGGTCTGGCGATCCTGATGATAAAGGTTTAATTTTCTCAGCATGCATTATGTACATATTTAGGCATATGTTACAGTATTTTTGCTTGGTTGAACATTTTAGAGATTTAAGTTCTGAGAAATAAAAAACATTAATGGATTAATGAAGCCTAGTAATTAAGGTAAAAGATGCACCTTTGCTGGATCATGCATCTGCTTCTTTCTCCTGCGTTTTAGCATATCGTGTTTCTCTTTAGTGTTACGGACTGTCTAAACAGAATTTTGTGGAGTGTTCTAGACTTAATGGTGAGGTTTTGAGTTCTAAAAGGTTATTAAGTTGGGAGTGAAACTCAGATCGTTACTGTGATGCCATGCCAATTAAAAAAACCATAGCTTGCTGTTAATTATGTCTTGAATCACTTATTTTTTTGCAAATTTGATGGGAAGTCTTTAACTTTAATGAAATAGGATATAAACTGTACCTATTTTATGAAGATGGTTGAACTATTAATGATACAACAGTTTTTGGTTCCCGTTTTTGTTGCCATCCAGCTATTTTCTTGTCTCTAATTTTACTCCTAATCTTAAACTGTTTGGCTATACAAAAACTTGATCCCTAGACAATCATGAATAATAGAAGTTGTGAAAAATTTGTGAACTTGGATGACCTTTCATGATGGTTACATCTGGTTATGTAAGTCTGTTGGCTGATGGGTGAATTTACAGCTGCTAGGCGTGCCAAATTTGAACACTCAAAGTTGAACAGAACTGTTTATTTGTAAGAGATTAAAGCAATTAAATGATTTCGTAAATTGACTGTGTTCTATTGGAATTTTTTTTTTCAAATTTTATGCTTTTTCATTAGACATAACCAGCGATTGTCATTTGTTCAGACTGATTTATGTTTGATTAATTGGGTTTAAAATAAGAATGTTGAAAAATCCAGTAAATGGAACCCAGTTACTGAATGGGAGCAACTGGGCCTATATTAAAATTGGCTGCAAATATCCCTTACTACACAGGCATAAACTTTTTCAGTCATTTTTGCTAATTTGAAAGGTAAACCAATTGGAGTCTTTTTTTGTATCTATTATATGTGGCAAAGTACTGCCGACTGTTGCTCATGTTTATTTTCTTTGAAATTTTGCAGGCATTCAGACATATAATGATGCCAAACACTATGCTATCTCTGCTAAGATACCAGAGTTCGGCAATAAGAACAGAACTCTAGTGGTTCAGTATTCTATTAAGTTTGAACAAGACATTGAATGTGGTGGTGGTTACATTAAGCTTCTCTCTGGTTATGTAAACCAGAAGAAATTTGGCGGCGACACGCCTTACAGGTCTGGCAAGTTGTTTAATCATCTAATTTTTTTGCTAGTGACAAATTTTATACTTCACATCTTAGATAATCTACATGCAAAATTTGAGAGGGTGTTGGTAACGAAACCTTTGTTGGCCTAATAAATTTGTTTTTTGGTCTTTTGCTTTTGTACAGTCTTAACTTTTGAAGGTTGACTGGATCTTTATTGGTTTCCTTCCTGACAGTTTGACCTCAAAAGTTCCTTGTTTCTGATCAATTCGGTGATGTGATAATTTTAGGGTTATGACTATTAGTTTATTTATTTAGTTGGGCTTGAATAGACCTTTCATAGTCACACTGGTATAACACTTACAGAGGCTGATGGGCCAGAGTTGGTGCTTCAAATCTTTAGGAAAGAAAGAAAAGAAAAGAAAATGACTCTTTTTGTGTTCTCTGACAGATTGAATGTGAATTATTACTCTGGTCAAACTTGTGACATACAAATGTAGTCCCTTGTCTCAAATTGAATGTTAACTTTTTACAAGGAAATTAAGAAAAATGCTTCGACTTTAGGCTTTTGTAGTAACATTTTAAACTTTTTCATAATGGAAATGCTCAACTGTCAGACTTCTTCAATTTTGAAATTATGACTTGAGACAGAAGAAAACTGACCTTAAAGTTGACTAAAATTATAGTCCTTGCCATTGAATCTATCCAACTGCCATTTGGATTGAGAATTTCTAATATTTTTCACTGCCCTTTTTCTACGGTATTGTTGTTCAATACTTTTTATTGCCAAAAAGTTGAATTTTTTTAAAAAAATTAATATGGAATGTTAAAAAAAGAGAGTAAGAGTTGTAGATGTTTGAAAAAATGAAAGAGGACATAGTTTCAAGGCATCAGAGAAAGGAAGGATCAACATCTAACTTGGGATGGGGGGAGTGTTACTTTGGAAGGAACTCTTTCCCATTTGCTCTTCCTCCCCCCTATCTCCTATTGGCCCAGAGGCATGGTGAGTGAGGAGAGCGAAAGATGGCAAAAAGATGAGAAATTAGCTTTTCGGCTAAGGGGGATAATGATACCTTGATCCACTCAGACTTGCTGAATCAATGTTACATATAGAATTTATTGCACTACACTCTTCTTGTGATAGGAAAGGGTGAGAAATAAGTGTTTGAGCTATATATACATGGGGTGACCATGTCTAGATGAACGGTTTAAAATGCATGATGTTCAGGTATGATGGTGGTCATTTTTGTGAGAACTAATAGATTGGAAGAGTAGGTAAAGGCGTAAGGGTGTGAAGGTTGGATGAAATGACTGAGATAGTTAGTTATCAACAACATAAAATGCCGACTGCTCACCTGCAATTTGGTTTTTCAAAGTTTTTCAAAGATGGGTGGAGGATATAAAGCAACATAGAAGTTGACTTAGTAAGGAATAATGATATATAAAAGACCTGTTATTTTATATCAAAGTCATGTGTTGCTTATATCTGTATATTTTTGGAATCACAGATCGTTTTGTGGTTTTAGATTGCATCTTTTATCTGTCTTGTTGGACACGTTTGCATTTGTTATTGAGAAGTTTGTTGTTGTAGATAGCTAAAACCAATTTAAGACTTGTTTCATATTCCTTTTAACACTAGCTGATTGGTCTTTTCCTGTGGTGCAGTTTGATGTTTGGACCAGATATTTGTGGCTCACAGACCAAAAAGCTCCATCTTATACTATCTTACCAGGGGCAGAATTATCCTATTAAAAAGGATTTACAATGTGAAACAGACAAGCTAACTCACTTTTACACATTTATTCTAAGGCCTGATGCCTCATATAGCATCCTAGTTGATAATAGAGAGAGAGAATCTGGAAGCATGTATACTGATTGGGAAATCCTTCCACCACAGAAAATCAAGGATGTTAAAGCCAAAAGGGTAGGACCCAAAGAATCAAAATAGGTGTTCATGGACACCCAGGAATTATGATATCTGATACAATGCATCAATAGACAACCTGTATTTTTTAAATCTAATTTTAAGAAGTTATATATTCAGAAGACCTTGAAGAAACATTTATTTGTATGTGTTACTATCTGGAAAGATCAGAGTCTCTAATTGTTTTTGTAATTTGCTGGTATGTTGTAGTCTAATTTCCTGCCTTGCCCCCAAAACTTTACACTCACTTTCATTCTTGTTACAGCCTGCAGACTGGGATGATAGAGAATACATTGACGATCCTAATGATGTCAAACCAGAGGTAGCATGTTCTGTGTGTCTCTTCAGAATTTGATGTCTGAAACAATCATGTAATTTACTATTACCTAAACACTTCTACTATGTGGTTATGCGTAGGGATATGATTCAATTCCTACAGAGATTCCAGATAGAAAGGCAAAAGAGGTTTGCACCCATTATTTAATGCCCAAAAGTCTTATTTTCAAATCCCAAAAGCAGTTTGAAGACAGATATAATTTGGACCCTTTTCATATTCTTTCTTTTGTTTAAACATGATGCCTCTCTATTAATCATGTTTCTACCCTTTTTTCCCTTGAATAATTAAGCTCCAATTCTGATAGTTGTTGTGCTTTCAATGAGAAGAAGTA